CGAGAAAGACAGACTTAGGCTTACATACACATTCACCCCCATACATATATATATATATATATATATATATATACTTTCGGTTCTTCCTTTGTTTGTTTGTTTCTTTTTTGTTGTTCTATCTATCTATCTATCTATCTATCTATCTATCTATCTATCTATCTATCTATCTATCTATCTATCTCAGCGATAAAGAGAGACTTGCGCTTACATACACATGCCCTCCCTATATATATATATATATATATATATATATATATATATATATTAAACAATAAAAAATATTAAAAAATTAAAATCTTCAGACACACTGGGTTGTAGATTAATATTCTTTCGTTTTTTTTTTATTATTTTATTTTCGACCAAAATGGCCATCATCGGGAGAAGAAATATTTCTGCTTGCTGGTAGCAATGAACTACAGTATATATATATATATATATATATATATATATATATATATAGTTCTTCTTCCTTTGTTTGTTTCTTTTTGTTCTTCCATCTATCTATCTATCTATCTATCTATCTATCTATCTATCTATCTATCTATCTATCTATCTCCCAACCTATTCATTATCTATCTATCTATCTATCTATCTATCTATCTATCTATCTATCTATCTATCTATTTCAGTCTGTTCATATGTATGTATGTATGTATGTATGTATGTATCTATATTTATCTCAGCGAGAAAGAGAGAATTACGCTTACATACACATGCACCCATATATATATATATATATATATATATATATTTATATATATATATAAGGATGAACGCATATGTAATTGCATATTCGCTATATGCACTTTTAAAATGCTTGCATATCAAACACATTTGCTGACATAATTTTAACCTCTCTTTCATAGTGGGCTGTAAAGATGCATTTGCATCATTCCCGAAAACCACACACAAACATATTCATATATATATATATATATATATATATATATATATATATATATATAAATTTTTTGTCTCGAATCTCTTCCCACCCTTCTATTTTTTCTCTCTTTCCTCACCACGTATCTTTTAACGCTAACGGAGTCGGCAAATCTAAGCCAAGAGTCAGAACAAGGGTGGACGTGGGGACAGCTTTTCTAAAGAATCGGGAGAGACATTGCCCAGTTCCACCATACGCCTCCACCCCGCCACACACCTAGTTCTAGAAAATGTTGTTGTTGTGGTGGTGGCGGTGGTGGTGGTGGTGGTGGGGGTGTTGTAGATTCTAACGAGCCGAAGAGTTTCTCAGGCTTTTTTTGACCTAGTGCAGTTCTTTCGTTTATACCAATTCTAGATTCCATGGTCTCACAGGGACGGACTGGGAATAAGGCTGAAACCTGAGGATCTATCTATCTATCTATCTATCTATCTATCTATCTATCTATCTATCTATCTATCTATCTATCGCAGCCTGTTCACATCTATCTATCTATCTATCTATCTATCTATCTATCTATCGCAGGCTGTTCATATCTATCATCTATCTATCAATCTATCTATCGCAGGCTGTTCACATCTATCTATCTATCTATCTATCTATCTATCTATCTATCTATCTATCTATCTATAGCAGGCTGTTCATATCTATCATCTATCTTTCTATCGCAGCTTGTTCACATCTATCTATCTATCTATGCTTGTTAATGATCTATTTTAGTCTATCCACATCTATCTATCTATCTATCTATCTATCTATCTATCTATCTATCTATCTATCTATCTATATATATATATATATATATATATATATATATATATATTCTGCTTCCATCTATCTACCTCAGCAAGAAAGAGTGAATTACGGTTATATACATGCACTCCCATATATATATATATATATATATATATATATATATATATATATATATATATATATATATATATATATATATATATATTTATGGATGTGTTCTTCCTTTATTTTTTTCTATCTATGTATGTATGTATTCATCTATCTATCTATCTATCTATCTATCTATCTATCTATCTATCTATCTCTATCTATTTCAGTTTGTTCACCTCTGTCTGTCTATCTATCTATCTATCTATCTATCTATCTATCTATCTATCTATATATATATATATATATATATATATATATATATATTCGCTTATGCATTCAATATTGTTGTCACATCTGATCTGTTGCTTGTGCTATCTATTTAGAGATTCTTGATTAAATCTGCAACGTTATTGATCCAGACCTGGCATCTCGGTTTCAGTCACTTTCCTCCCATAATGACGTTGCTTCCCTGTCGCTTTTCTAGAACTGTTTTCATTGTAATTGTTCTGATTTCCCTTCCTTTTTGGTACCCAGACCTCAAGAATTAAAGCGAAGTGCTTGATTGACATTTGAAATAGTTAGATATACTAACAATTTACCTTTCTTCTCCTCATGAGATATCACCAATATATATACTGCGTGTTAACAATAAAAGTGTCCAGATCGTGTAATAGCAAAATTGTTCAATAATTAGATTAAGATTCGAACCGTTGTATCTTAGAAATGATTAAAGATATATTACTGGAATTCTCCGAGGTTTATACAACATTATTGGACACTCCGTTGAGCAATAAGAATGTATAATTACTTTCCAAGCTTAACAGAAGCATCGTGATGAAATCTATGATAAACGAAAATGACATCATTAATTAATCAGGGCTAAGGATCGGAAGCTTATGAAGGACTGAAATAAGCTTCAAATATATATATATATATATATATATATATATATATATATATTTTTTTTTTTGAACAAAATCATTTTAATTTTTTATTTTGTAAAAATCTTAGGCGGATTTATGAAACAGGCATAATATCTATCTCACGCACGGTGAACACTAGACCTGGCTTCTTTAATATTTCCCCTTTTCTAGCAAGATTAATGCTCGACAAACGTACATATAAGTTTTAGATCAAAATAAAATTCTTTTCGTTTTTCATTCAAAATACTCAAATTTTAGGAATACGTTTTCACAACATCGCCCACGTGACGACGACGTGATCATATTTAAACGGAACGCTTATCTTATAAAAGATTTCAGTTATCTGTTTGGATTGGTATTGCTTTTATGTCCATCGTCTTTTTCATATTGAATTGTATATGGTCTATGTTAATTATGTTTTATGAATATGTCCTGAAGATGGTCTATTAGACCGAAACGTCCGACGTTGACATTAAACATTAAAACAGCATAATCACATATTAGGATATTCGTTTGTTTTTTCAGTATATTTTTCTTCATACTGTCCGATCTATATCCATATATTTGCTTACATATACATACATACATACATACATATATATATATATATATATATATATATATATATATATATATATATATATATATATATATATATTATTAAATGGGCAAAATCCGACAATTATTTAAGACATTTTTTTATGTTTATACGTTCTTTTTATAGATACAAATATGTAAGTAAATGCTCTGCTTATAATAAACAATATTAATAATATTTATCGGCTTGAATGCCCGAGAAATTTTCATAGAAAATATGCGTCCTCCGACAGGAATCGAACCTGTATCCTATACGGAAGCGTCATATAGCCTGACGTGCCTTAACCGATTGAGCCACACAGGATCGTTCGGTTAGCAAGGTCGATTTTACTGTTTTAAGCTACAATTCTCCATGATTTTCTCTCGTACATTCATATCTGCTCGATGCATATCGAAATGTAAACAAATGACGTCACACATTATGAAATGGACAAAGTCCGATAATTATTTTTAAGACGGTATGTGCTTGGTAAATGTAACAATGTTTAGGAGAGGTAAGAAAAATACAAAATTTATTAAGAGCTACAAAGGACAGGAAATTGTGGAGAGCCATGATCGCCAATGTCCTGAAGGGACACGGCACATAGAAGAAGAAGAATGAGCTTGAGTAAATGGATGGCGGAACAAGGTTTAGAAGAGATAACAAAAAGACAAGATTGATTAAGAGCTACAAAGGACAGGAAATTGTGGAGAGCCATGATCGCCAGTGTCCTGAAGGGACACGGCACATAGAAGAAGAAGAATGAGCTTGAGTAAATGGATGGCGGAACAAGGTTTAGAAGAGATAACAAAAAGACAAGATTTATTAAGAGCTACAAAGAACAGGAAATTGTGGAGAGCCATGATCGCCAATGTCCTGAAGGGACAAGGCACATAGAAGAAGAAGAATGAGCTTGAGTAAATGGATGGCGGAACAAGGTTTAGAAGAGATAACAAAAAGACAAGATTTATTAAGAGCTACAAAGGACAGGAAATTGTGGAGAGCCATGATCGACAATGTCCTGAAGAGACAAGGCACATAGAAGAAGAAGAATGAGCTTGAGTAAATGGATGGCGGAACAAGGTTTAGAAGAGATAACAAAAAGACAAGATTTATTAAGAGCTACAAAGGACAGGAAATTGTGGAGAGCCATGATCGCCAATGTCCTGAAGGGACAAGGCACATAGAAGAAGAAGAATGAGCTTGAGTAAATGGATGGCGGAACAAGGTTTAGAAGAGATAACAAAAAGACAAGATTTATTAAGAGCTACAAAGGACAGGAAATTGTGGAGAGCCATGATCGACAATGTCCTGAAGGGACAAGGCACATAGAAGAGGAAGAATGAGCTTGAGTAAATGGATGGCGGAACAAAGTTTAGAAGAGATAACAAAAAGACAAGATTTATTAAGAGCTACAAAGGACAGGAAATTGTGGAGAGCCATGATCGACAATGTCCTGAAGGGACAAGGCACATAGAAGAGGAAGAATGAGCTTGAGTAAATGGATGGCGGAAAGAGATAACAAAAAAGGTTTAGAAGAGACAGGAAATTGTGGAGAACGCCAAAAGGGACACAAAGAAGATTTATTAAAGAGCTAACAAAAAGACAAGAGGAAATTGTGGAGAGCCATGATCGACAATGTCCTGAAGGGACAAGGCACAGAATGAGCTTGAGTAAATGGATGGCGGAACAAAGTTTAAAACAAAAGACAAGATTT